GGCGCCGGGCCAGGCCAGGACCCCTGTCCAGGCCGACCTGCCGACCTGCCGTACCCATTTGACCTGTACTCTGCCCGCGCAGGTGGACTCGTACGGGAAATGCCTGCAGAATCGGGAGCTGCCCACTCCACGGTTACAGGACACAGCCACGGCCACCACCGAGGACCCAGAGCTCCTGGCCTTCTTGTCCCGCTATAAGTTCCATCTGGCTCTCGAGAATGCTATCTGTGACGACTACATGACAGAAAAGCTGTGGCGCCCCATGCACCTCGGTGCGGTGCCTGTGTATCGCGGCTCCCCCTCGGTGAGGGACTGGATGCCCAACAATCACTCCATCATCCTCATCGATGACTTTGAGTCACCGCAGAAGCTGGCAGAGTTTATTGACTTCCTGGACAAGAACGATGAAGAATATATGAAATACCTGGCATACAAACAACCCGGGGGCATCACCAACCAGTTCCTCCTGGACAGTCTGAAGCATCGGGAGTGGGGAGTGAATGACCCTTTATTGCCCAACTATCTCAATGGCTTCGAGTGTTTCGTTTGTGATCATGAGCTGGCGAGGCTGGAGGCCGAGAAAGCCCACGAAGCCGCCCCCGGAGACACCCCTGTACCTGAACCTCACATTGCCCAGCCCTCACACATGGACTGCCCAGTGCCAGCACCGGGCTTTGGCAGTGTGGACGAGATTCCTGAGAGTGACAGGTAAGGTAGCTGGGGTCCCCTGCAGCCATCAAGTCAGATTATTTACTTACTTGCTTACTGTGGACAATGAGTTAGCACGAGGTGCTGAGGGGCTGTTGTATAAAGAAATTATGAGAGGGGCTCACTCTGCATTTAAGGTGTCAAGGGTCTAGCTGGGGATATAAGACAAACTGAGAAAGCTCAGTAAAGATGTAAACTATAATCCAAGGCAACAACATATGAAAATCAGCTGATGGGGACAGCGTTTGCAATAGTAACTCAAAAAAGGTTTCAACCCGAGCAGAGGACCTGTTCAGAGAAGTGATGAGGGAGAGACAGAGTTGGGCAGATAAAGGGGGGCCAGGATACACGTAGCCTGAATACCAGGCTCAGAAATTGGACAGTCCTGAAAATCAGTTCAGCTATTTATTGAGCACCTTTTGTATCTATGGTGTGGGTGGGGATGAGGGATACAAAGATGAGTATTTTGAGGGAAGTTTGTAATAGCCCGAGTTCACACCTGTTAACCTGGTGTAATTATTAATAACACCTCCTTTCACTCTTAAAGGTATCCTGATTTGGATGATTCACCCTAGACAGAATTTTATATTCACCCTAGACAGAATAGAGGGAATTCTTTTTTTTCTTCTTTTTTTTAGAGGGAATTCTTTAAAAAGATAATAATTGTCAATGGTGGGCAGTGTGGATTAGAAGGGAAGTAAGGAGGCTACTGCGGTAGATGGCAGAATGTGTTAGCATTGGGGAACAAGGTCAGCATGGGAGGTGGAGTGGGAAAATATTGAATCCTCTTGCAGCAAACCACCCCTGTTGGGAGAGAAACAGTAAAAGATGATTGAACTTGAGAAAGAGAGGTTCCTGGATTGGCCTGCAGAGACCGACTTTGACAGTGGATGGCAGCAGAGGGTTGTTTATATGTGCTACTGGCACAGTTTGGTCCTGGAAATGATGTCCTCCATCAAGTAATTTGAATCTAGTTTATGCTGAACATGATATGATTTACTAGAGGAAAAGTGTAAAACAATGTAAACACTTAATAAATTCAGGATATCTCTTAATCTGGGTCCTGAATGCTGCTGCACCTTCATTTTGATTATTGAGATAAAGGTGCAACGTGAAAGGTAACCATCTAAATAGATAACAACTGCTTTCCTAATCTGGCCCCTGCCTTGCTTGCCTTTTTGAACTCCCTCCACATTGGGAACCAGGAGCAGGAAAGTTAGGAAGTTTGGCTCATTGATTGGGCTGTGTGATATAATCATGTTTGTGGCTTACCACCTGTCACCTGAACTAGTACTGGATTTACTTCACATTCCTTCCCTTTGGAGCAGAGCTCTGTGCTAGACAGAGACCACTGTATCTGCTTAAGGTTTTGTTGACTCCATAGCTGTGCTGAGGTTCCATAATCCAACCCTCATTTTGATATTTCAGCTGGAAGGAGATGTGGCTGCAAGACTATTGGCAAGGTCTGGACCAGGGGGAAGCTCTCACTGCCATGATCCACAACAATGAGACACAAGAGAGGAAATTTTGGGATTACCTACATGAGATCTTCCTGAAAAGGAACCAAAATCTCTAATTACCCTGCGAGAGCTTTGAACTTGGTAGGTCTAAGGAGATGGAAGTCATTCTACCACAGGACATGCTGCACAAACCCTTAATGAACATTGTCTTATCCTGACTTTAAGGGATTCTAGTTGTATCTACTGATATTTTATCCTAATGATGTATAGCCAGGGTCTCAGACTGTGGTAATAGGGCTTCCCCTCAAGGAGAGATGAAGGCATCCAGTTCTTAGTTTAGTGGAAAACAGAAGCCTGAAACACCCATTTGATTCAAGGTGCAGATCCAACAGAATTTTTAAAGAACTGCTTATTTCTCTAGCCATTTTATCCTCTCAATTATGATTGGAACAACACCTTAGTACTTGGCTACAAATGAGGTAAGATTTCTCATGTGTTATTCCTCAAACCCCTTATTATTTAGTACCTTTTCTAACCTCTTTTCCAGATATTCTGCTTTATGAACTGTTATGTTGGTGGTGAAGCAAAACTCCTGGTGGGTTGTATTCTAGTTCTCTGGAGTTGTATTTTTTTTTATCATTTACCTTGAATTTCATGTTAGTCTTTTTATTTTAAAATTTTTTTCCTTTCCTAGTTTTCCACAATTTCTGATGAAGATATAGCAGCCTTGCCACCATTCCCACATTCATTCTTCTCTGCATTAAATTGGCTATAGATTTGACAGTTTTAACTATAAATAAATAAATAAATAAATCCTATATAATAAAGGGGTAATATGCAAATTGGCCCAATGACAGAACGACCGGTTGCTATGATGCACACTGACCACCAGGGGGCAGATGCTCAATGCATGAGCTATCCACAGGGGGAGTGCTGCTCAGCCACAAACTGGGCTGATGCAGTGCTAAGGATGTCAGACTACGGTTTTGGGGAGTGAGCCTAAGACGTCAGTTGGACATCCCCCGAGGGCTCCCAGACTGTGAATCACAGTCCAGGCTGAGGGGACTCCCCCCCCCCTCCCCAGTGCACAAATGTCATGCACTAGGCCTCTAGTATATATAAAATTTTGAAATGTTAAAATAGGCCAATGTGAATCAAAGTGAAGAATTTTATATGTATTTGTTCTTTTCTGTCTAATAAAGTCTTTCCTCTATTTTATTTTTATATATTACAAAAGTCCCATTTCCCCCAGTCATGAAAATTGTGGAAAAAACAGTCCAGCAGTATAGCTTATATTCTGTAGCACTTTTCATTTTAAGTGGGATGAATATTCTAGCTTCACTCATTCTATTGCTGATATTCTTTTATACAACTTTATAGTATTTCTGAGACCACATTTTGATGGAGCCCACCCAAGTCCAAGGAGATGAGAGGTGAGGCAAGAGATGTAAGTCACCACAAGTGGCTGGCTAAATAAAAAGCTGTTAGTCAAGCCCTAACCGGTTTGGCTCAGTGGATGGAGCGTCGACCTGCCGACTGAGGGGTCCCAGGTTCGATTCTGGTTGTGGGCACGTCCCCAGTTGGGGGTGTGCAGGAGGCAGCTGATCGATGTTTCTAACTCTCTATCCCTCTCCCTTCCTTTCTGTAAAAAATCAATTAAAAAAATATATATATATATACATTTTAAAAAGCTGTTAGTCAAGCTCTAGCTAGTTTGGCTCAGTGGATAGAGCATCAGCTCACAGACTGAAGGGTCCCAGGTTCGATTCTGGTCAAGGGCAGGTACTTTGGTTGTAGGCTTGATCCCTGGCCCAGGTCGGGCATGTGCAGGAGGCAACCAATCCATGTTTCTCTCTCACATCGATGTTTCTCTCTGACTCTGTCTCTCCCCCTCCCTTCTACTCTCTCTAAAAATCAGTGGAAAAATATCCTTGCGAGAGGATTAACAAAACAAAATAACAACAACAAAAAAGCTGTGAGTCCAGTTGGGGATACAGCCAAACCTTTCTATTGCTATGATTTGAATAGATAGCTTAATGGGCAGAGAGGTCATTAGCTTTTTCTGGAGCAGAGAAACAGGGAAGAATATCTTGGCCCTTAGAGCTACCCTGGTTGTAAAGTTGTATTAATGAATTATCATCAGAGAAGTTCCATAGCTTATCAATATATCTGGTGGTAAATTAGTATGAATGTATGTATAATTTTTTTTTACTACCAGAGTTAATAATACAAATATATGTAGATGCCTCAACAACGAAGGTCCTACACTTAATATTGTAACATCTAAGGATGTGACTAAGGAAAGCTATTATTTAGGCTGGATTTCACTGTCAGAGTGCTTCTTTTTCATTCTATTCTTTAATAAAAAAAAAAAATACCCTTCGTAATAGCTTGGAAAGTTTGCTTAACCTTTTTGCTCTTTTGCAGAAAAGAAAAAGAGGTAAAGCTAGATCTTCAAGTATACTCATGTCAGCCCTGGCTGGGTAGCTCAGTTGATTAGAGCATCGTTCCAATACACCAAGGTTTGGGTTCAATCCCTGGTCAGGGCACATATAAGAATCAGTCAGTGAATGCATAAATAAATGGAACAACAAATCAATGTTTCTCTCTTTCCTTCCTCTCTCTCCCTCTCCCTTTCTCTCCAAAATCAATAAATTGTAAAGAAATTTTTAAAGATACTTATGTTAAAATTTGATACAGTAGGGATCCACAACTGAAGTCAAATTCAGGACTGATTTCTAAGCTTGCAATTTGTTCAAATACAAATGCTGACTTATAGGGGCAGGTTTGAGGGGGTAAAAAGAAACAAAATAAAAACAACTCTAATGAGACCAAAAAAAGGTGGAATAACAAATTTCTCTCTCGTTTAAAAAAAGTTTAATCTTCTAGAATTATCCAGTATATTTTATTAGATGTGGCCAATAAAAAAGTATCTTTTGATGCCCAGCATAACTGATGACATTAAAGAAATTACAGTATATATTATTGTTTTTCCACAATGGGCCACTATTCAGAAAAGTGATCTAGGGTTTTTCCCTAGACAACTGTATAAGAAACCTATAACCTACTTAGTACATATTTATTGTTCATATCCAAGCTCCATAGAATTGGCTTCACCCAATTAGATGTCTCTTTAAAAATAAATCATTGGCTTTCATGCTTATGTGAATCCTCTGTGCACACATATTAAAATTTTTATTTTCCTGCTGTTAAATAATCATTGTTATTTTCCTAATCTCTCCCCATAGTTTAGAAATTGAGTGCTATAAAACGACTATGTAACCATATCTTTCTGCAGCCCATAATTGAATCAATGGCTTTTTGCTAGGCACATGGTCAGACAATACTGAGAGCCTTGTTCAATAAAAGCAATGCACGCTGTAGCGTGGCTCCAAGGACCACATCAGACCAATAGGTAGAAATTAACTGCCTTTCTTGTCTGGTACTTCATTAAAATTCAAAAATAATAATTGTTCCAACTAGTTGGCACTTACTGTACATGAAAAACAAAACAAAATACTAGTACCCAAGTACAAACTAAAATTAGGACTTAAATTTCATTATGGGCAGTAAAAAGAGTAAGTGATCGTAGTTACAGGAGATGTAGAATCATCCTTACCTTTCCTGTCTATTCACAACAGTTCACATTGGCACTCCTTTAGCACTTTTATGTACAAAGTGGGCTAGTTGTTTATGAATTATTGTGGCTGGAGACTCATGCCTGCTTTGTGGTCAGTACTTCCAGACTTTTTTCCTTTATTCCTATTGCCATAAAAAATATTCACAAAAGAGCAGAGTAAACCAGGTGCTACATTTCCATAAGGGAAAGCAGAACCAGGAATAGCCACATGGCACTTATCAACTAAAGGCTTCACTTTCCCTATGGAGAAAGCAAGCAGTGTGAATTTTCTCTGGTTTGGGGCACAGCCTGCTCTATATACAGCAGCAGGCTTGAGGTTATTAGCGGTAGACGTTTCTAATAGGAATCAGTTTTATTTATGTTGCTGGAGGGGGGGAAGCATGGGACTGATACTTTGATTACTACAAGTATTGCTATTTTCTGTTACCTCAGGTTCCCTTTTGTATAATAAATGGCTTATTTTTAAACAGTGTCTTCTGCTTGGTTATATTTCTGTGGAGAGCAAGATAAAGTTGGATATTTCAAACATTTATTCATTTAACAGGTATTTATTGACACTAGGCACTGAGGATTCAGCAATGAACAAAGTAGACAAGGTCCCTTCTCTCATGGTGCTTACATTTCAAATGGGTGTTGGTAGTAAGGGGGTAAACAAGCAATAAATGAACAAAATAATTCAGACTGTGATAGGAGCTATGAAGAAAATAAAACAGGCTGTGGTGATGGGGTGTGAGAAGTCAAGGAAGGCCTCTCTGACATGAACTGAGACTCAACAGGAAAAAGAAGCATTCATGCAGAGATAAATGGAAAGATTACAAACATCTGTGATAAACTATTGTAGCCACTAAATTTACACAGCCAAATTTACACACACTTTGAGTAATTATAAAGGCAATGTTTATTAAAATACATTTCATTTTCAAAATTGAGCTGTCAGCTATTAAAATGTGTATATCTTTTGGGGACACCCTGTAGTCACCTTGTGAACTACAAGATTGTTCAAATTATGCTTCCATTACCAGAAACATTTTTGGGGGCTAATTTGTAAATTCCTTGAGAATCCATAGCACATCTTTGGAATGTTTTGTAAACAATTAAGTCCCTTAGAACCAAGTTTGATGAAGCTAGACATCACAACCGAAGGGCCGAGTCTATAAACAGGACTGATACACGCAGGTTTAGACTGGAGGGTCCAGGTTCCATTCCAGTCAAGGGCACAGGCCCGGGTTGCCGCTCCATCCCCAGTGGGGGGCCTGCGGGAGGCAGCCAATCAATGATTCTCTCTCATCATTGATGTTCCTATCCCTCTCCCTTCCTGTCTGAAATCAATAAAGACATATTTTTTAAAAAACAGGAATGATACTACCAAGTATCTTCACAAGGTCGGCAAGAGGATTACAGAAGGCCGTGAATGCCAAAGTGCTTAAACGTCACCCCACCCAATGAGATTACAAATGAGCAAATGATATCTAAGTAGAGCACCTGTTTATAAATAAATGAGCCGAATTTCTCTGGGAGGCTTTGGAGGTGGTTCTAAAGATAGTCAAAAACCAAGAGTTATTGAAGGCTTATAAAACAGCAAAAACCTTTCCCAAATGACCATCTCCAAGCCTCGTGTTCCGGTATGCTTCCCTCCTCCGGCCCCGCCTGTGTCCGTCCATCACTAATGCAGCCGGCTGGCGCGGTCAATGAGCTCATTGACCGGCCCTTCCCTGGGGTCCTGGCCCAGCGCTGCCAGGAACTGGGGAGGCGTGACCCCGGTTAGCGTCGGCGCCCAAAGACCCTGACCTG